CATCATACAGGCTATATGCAGAGACCAGAAGTTTCTGGTGATGCTGCTGAATGTACAGTCCTCGTTAGTGCACTAACCAGATACAAACGCACTAACCTATCTTGACTCATCTGGAGCCATGTGACCCAACACAAATGCCAATCCAATCACCCCTCGGGCATCATTTAGCAGCTACATGCAGACACGATTTACTCCCCAGAAATACCATGTTTAAAAATTTATACAACACACTGCATAACAGGCAGCAGTTTCATAGGACACATGAAATGAAGAGTCTGTGAGCTGGATATTGAGAGCAATAGCTAGCAGAGATGTTCTTTGCACCACGTCAAATAAAGTACAAATTCCTAACATGCTCTCCCCATGCACAGTCTAAAAAGTTAGCTGAATCTTGCTTGTTAGTTCCTGAAACATCACTTTTGGGGTTTCAGGTGTAAGCATTGTTCTGTGGACTTACCTGGCACCAGGACTGTTTCTTCCTGCTTTCTGATCCTTTGAGATTTGGGGAGATCTGAGACTGCAGCACTGGAAGCAAATCCTCCATCAGCACATTACTAAGAATCTAAACCCAAAGAAAAAGACCATCTTCACTAAGTTAACAACACAGACCATGCATTAAATACTACAGCTTGGGAATGCTTGGCACTTTACAAACCTCAGGTTCTGTTCCCAGGAAGAAATCCCCTGCTCCGTAACTACCCTTCTCTTGCCTGTAAAACCGCACAGCTTCCAAAAACGCCTCTACTTCAAAGGAATCCTGTCTGTGTAAAACTGAATTGAAATACCAGTTAGTTAGTCCCAGCAACATTTAACTGAGGTTAATCAGAAAAGCCTGATCCACTCTCAGCAAAGTCAAATCTGGCTGCATAGAACAGCTTGCTGGTGACGAGCATTGCTTAAATGACACAACGATAAGTGCTATAAAACCTATGAGAGAGAATAACATTATGCGACCAACAAGGGTGGTGTAGGAGTCTCTGAAAATCTCTGTGGCTCTGAGTGCACCTGCCTCTCCCTTTAAAGAAATGAAACCCAAACTACCTGAAGTGGCTCAAATTTAAAACCATAATTTTAATCCCAGGACGTAGGAAACATTCACTTTCTTTGGACTTACATCAATACCACATCTCAGAGGGGTAGCCATGTTAGCCTATAACTTTAAAAACAACGAGCAGTCCTGTGGTATCTTAGAGCTAATACATTTGTTGGTATCAAGAACTTAAACCTCCAGTGCATCACTGACAATCTACAACCTATTATCAGCCATCACATACCACACCAGAGTCACACTTACCCAGGAACTTACCTCTGCAACAAACCCTGCCAACTCTATCCACATAGCTATACAAGCAACACCAGCATAAGACCTAAGTGCATAAGTCACACCATCAGGGGCTCATACACTTGCACATCCACCAATGTGATACAGGAGTGGCCTAAGGCGGGCTGCGGTAGCTGGCGCCCCAGGCGGAATGCGCAATTGGTGCCCCCACCTGCATGGCCCTCAATGGCGTGATGTCATCATTGGGCGCCCCATTGAAGGTGGCGCCCTAGGCAACGGCGAGTTGGCCTATACTCACGGGTGTCCCAGATGTAATATATGCTATCAAGTGCCAGCGATGACCCTCTGCCATGTATACTGGCCAAACATAATAGTGTCTGTGCCAAAGGATAAATGGACACAAATCAGACATCAGGAATGGTAACACACAAACTTCTAGGGGAATATTTAACCTCCCTGGACATTCAATAATGGGTGTAAAAGTGACTATTCTTCTACAAAAGAATTTTATCCCCTAATTACAGAGAGAGACATCTGAACTGGAGTTCATTTACAAGTTCATCACTATCAACTTAGGCTTGAATAAAGATCTTAAGTGGTTAATGCACTACAAAGGCAGTTTCTCCACCTTTGATAGTCCCATTTTCACATCACATGCTCTGAACAGACACATCCAGCCTGACTTAATTAGCTTAATTAACACTGGTTTACAATTCACGCAGACTGCTCCCCCCACCACTGCTGCCTCTGTATCAGAGGCAGCAGTGCAAGGGGGAGGCAGGAGCCGGTGCTCTGGGAGAGCCAGTTTAAAAGTCAAGCCCTCATGAGTACCAGCTCCTGCTTTCTCCCCCTCCCTCCTGCGCTGCTGCCTCTCTATCAGAGACAGCAGCGTGGGAGGTGCAGATGGCTCCACAGAAGCTGGTACTCACGGGAAGCTGGCTTTTAAATAGGCTCCCCTGGAGCACCAGCTCCAGCCTGTCCCCTGTGCTGCTGCCTCCTCTGATATAGAGACAGCAGTGTTGGAGGGAGCTGGCATGATAGCTGATTTCCTGCGTATACTGGCTCTCGCCTCCCATCCCTGTTGCCTCTAATACAGAGGCAGCAGAGGGGAGGGTATGTTTAACAGTGCTGGTTAACCGATAAACCCAGGATTATCAGTTAACCATGCACACAGGTCATAGCGAACTCCTACTCTCAGCCTCATATGCAGATGTTGCCTCATGTCTAATAATGCAGGAACTTCCAGATGTTACCTGTGCTACAATATCGGATCCCATCTCGAAACATGGATTTCCAGGTGTGCTGGGATTCTACAGAGTTTGTGCAGAAACAGAAGGACTTTCGGAATGGATGGTAAAGGAACAGCAGAAACTCTTCCGGAGGCTCATTTAAGGGGTCTTGGTCCCAATGTGGGTAGTCAACTTGAAAAGGAAAGCACAGAACATGTTTCCAACAGTGACTGTTAGAATCAAATGTTTCTTGAAATAATGTGTTATGTCTCCACAGCTCTTAATGATCCTGGTGTCTCTCCCTGGTGCCCAACCCAGAGGACAGCTGCCATTTTACTGCCAGAAGGAATGCCTATCTACAGCTAAGGCAGCAGAGGGAACTACATATTATCAGTACTTGCCAAGATTCAGCCTATAATTGGAGACATCTAAATGCACTGAGTGAGGCTGAACACCTGCACGGTCACTTTAAGGTATTTTCATTTTACTGGTTCATATTTACTAGAAAATATTGTGTCAAATCAGCACACTAAAGATGTTCCTATTCCACCGTTAACAAAATCTGTTCAGAAAGTGATTGCTGAAGCCTCACTTCCTTTCTCATGGACTATTTCAGCAGATAGGAAAGATTCCTGCTTCATTAGCAATTTTAATGTGGATTGAATAAAATAAAATGATCAGCTATTTACATATTATGATAACTAGATGGAACTTTTAAGGCACATTGCCAGTTTCTATACAGACCTGGCAAGTGGAGAAAGAGAACAGAACAGCTGTCTCAAATGGAGTGCAGGGATTGGCAACATCTTGCTGCATCTGCTTCTAATTTCATGTCACTTCACCATGAAACCTGGGTTCTTCATCTGGCTGAATAAAACCCTGTAACCCACTAACAGTACTAACTGTATTTATTCTAAAGAGAGAAAAGGGGGGACAGAAGAGCATGGTAAAAAGGAAACAGGTTTAAACAGCATGAGGTCCTAAAAAGCTTGTGTTTGAGACACATCAGTATGTTTGGTTTATTTTGTGATCTCTAGCTTTGAACAGTGCAGTAGTCCCTTGAGCAATGGGGCCTCTGCATATGTATAATCAATGTTCTTCTATAAGGATGGCAAAGTCCATCACATAAAAAAAATAGAAAGTTTAGAATTCAGAAATGGAGCTCTTTCTATTTAGAGCTGGTGTTGCTGAGGAGTTCTTGAAGTTGCTGTCCTGAATAATGCTATGAGGGGCCAGTAAGACTCTTTGCCCTTTCTATTTCCTGACACATTTCTCAAACAGGGCACATCACAGACTTACATACTAATCCCTGGCAGAGACTATTGATCAGTCTTGTGTATTTACTCAGCGAGGTCACCAGCAAGTATCCGGATAAACTAGTGGATCCTCTGGGTTTATTGTCTTTCCCCTGGGCCTGGAAAAGAAATCCAAACAGAACTACCTTCAGGAGGGCTTAAGGGCAGAATTCCTCACACAACCTGGCTGCTAGGATTTAGGGTCTGAAGTGACTGACATCAAGTCTCTCTCGCTCTCTCTAAATGTCACTCATTGACAGTAACGGCCATTTTTGAGTGTGGAATTTAGTAGCTGTTTAACAAACTCTACACATCCATTTTGGAGAGGAAACAAAGGAGGAGAATTTAGTCCTATAAGCCAGAAGGAGGAATTTTAGGGAGGCAGAACATAATTTTCCGGAACTGTGCGGCTAATTGTCCTTTAAGAAGGCAAACCCATGTTCAGACGTCTGGGCATACAAGTATTTACAGGAGACTCATCTGAATGGGGTGATAATATGCAAGATCTATATACACTTTATAACCCAGGAAGTGGGGATAAAAGCAACTGAAGCAGCACATTTACCTCTTTACTATCAAACCACTCCAGGGTGCAGTTTCCCAGCAAAATGAAATAACTCTTTTTCCACTTGCAGGTGTCCCCATTATACTGTGTCAGGACTCCTTCATGCAGAAGAGCAACAGGTGGTATCTGGAGCTGTGAATGGATAAAGGAGGACAGGATAGGGCTAACCCTAAGTCCCAGTGACAGTGCAGATGCAACTGTAAACTCTTTGGAGCAGAGACCATGTCATCTTCTGTGTCTAACCCTGACCCAGGCCTTTGGCTGTTACTCTAAAACAATATAAATAATAAGAACATAAGAATGGCCATACTGGCTCAGACCAAAGGTCCATCTAGCCCAGTAGCCTGTCTGCCGACAGTGGCCAGCACCAGGTGCCCCAGAGGGGGTGGACTGAAGACAATGATCAAACGATTTGTCTTGTGCCATCCATCTCCAGCCTCGGACAAACAGAGGCCAGGGACACCATTTTATCCCCTGGCTAATAGCCTTTTATAAAGATGTCTAAATAATGAGACAAGTGAATGACGACATCTAGTGGCCACTGGCAGCAAATAAAACACCTACATTAACTTCTATTTCTCTCCCTCCCCCTGTAATTTCAGTCAAAATAGCTCTTAAGGGGGGTTACAAAGTCTTTCAATCTAATCCAGAGGACAGGTAACAATTTATCAGCTCCATCAGTATATAAAAAAATTATAAAACTGCATGTACTATAGAACTGCAGTGATATAGCTGTGTTTGTACCAGGATATTAGAGACAGGCAGAAGTGTTAATAGTCCATCAGACCATGAATGGTCTCTTGCAACATGTATTAACTCCTTATGCTTAACAATTTCTTACACCTTGTATTTATTCATGATGCTCTGAGTACCTTTCCCAGACCTGAAGCAGAACTCTGTGTGAGTTTCTCTCTTTGCAAATTGAAGCAGGTGAATGAAAGTATGAGCAAGTAACAGTGAATGGCAGGTTTTTAAACTTCCTACTAGCAGCAGGGCTGCATTGAAGATTAGCACTTGGGAGTTGCCAGCTCCTATTCCCATGCTTAAGCCACCAGAGTATACACATCCTCATGCTTGATCCATTCAGCAACACAGAACTGTGTGTCAGAGATTAATCATACTAGAGCCCTAAAGGATCTCAAGATGCTAGAGAGAATGGAGGATGAAGGCAAAGTTGTTTTCTGATCAGGGAGAAGGCAGCAGCTCAAGATGTTTGGGGAAAAAGAAAAAGCTCTCCTAGAACACTAATAACAGCCATACATTGCACTTTCACAGCTCCTACAGAAGTTAGCAAGGATTAGAGAGGGAAGGAGAAGGAAAGGAGGGATGGTGTGCAAGAAAACCAGGGATGGTCTAGACAGTATTTGGTCCTGCCATGAGGGCAGGGGACTGGACTTGATGACCTCTCGAGGTCCCTTCCAGTCCTAGTATTCTATGATTCTATGAAAATGTGGCCTTTTGAATTCTCTGAAACTTTAGTCAGTATTTGAAATGTGAACTTAGTAGTGCCATCACTGGCCTCCAGCATGCAGAAACTGCCCTACACCCCAAACACACACAGAGGTATGAATCAGGAACTGCTTTTGTATTTTTAAATATGTTCCTAAAAAACTATGTCCAGGGCATGAGCAGCCAAAGCCCCTACTGTTAGGTCAGTGATTCACATGCTAGCAATTACTTACATGTGTAGCCAACAATATTAGTTACTAGCAAAAATACCCAGCGTCGCCCGGGGAAAATATAGTAAAAGGTGTGATAAATGAACTATGTCAATGACATGAACAAAGTATATTTTACTGGAAATACTTTTCTCTCATATATTACTTTAAGAAATTTACATAGCTAGTGATGTGCTTACAAAACGCATTTACATTTAACTCATTTGTTGATAACAAAAGGTGTGGTGAATGAACTATGTAAATGACGTTAACATAATGTATTTTATTGGAAATACTTTTTCTTATATCATAGGGAAAGGATCTCGTAGTTGCAGTGTGATACACTTAACAGAAGAGTCCAGCAAATGCCTATGATGAGGCACTACGAAAAGCTAATTAGTGGCCCCGTTGGGGCTCTGGGGGACCCAATTTTGAGATATAATCAATCCAGTTATTGAAGTTAGGAAATCAGTAGTATCCATTCAAAATTTGGTGTTTCTAGCTGTTACCGTTTCAGAGATCTAAGCTAATTATCAGTGGGCCCAATTGGGGCTCTGGAGGAACCGATTTCCAGATATAACCAATCTAGTTATTTAAGTTAGGAAATCAGTAGAATCCATTCAAAATTAGGTGTTTCCCAGCAAATGCCTATGATCAGGCGCTACTAAAAGCTAATTAGTAGCCCAATTGGGGCTCTGTGGGAACCGATTTCAAGATATAACCAACCCAGTTATTGAAGTTAGGAAATCAGTAGTATCTGTGCAAAATTTTGTGTTTCTATGATCAGGTGCTACTAAAAGCTAATTATCAGTGGGCCCAATTGGGGCTCTGGAGGAACCGATTTCCAGATATAACCAATCTAGTTATTTAAGTTAGGAAATCAGTAGAATCCATTCAAAATTAGGTGTTTCCCAGCAAATGCCTATGATCAGGCGCTACTAAAAGCTAATTAGTAGCCCAATTGGGGCTCTGTGGGAACCGATTTCAAGATATAACCAACCCAGTTATTGAAGTTAGGAAATCAGTAGTATCTGTGCAAAATTTTGTGTTTCTATGATCAGGTGCTACTAAAAGCTAATTATCAGTGGGCCCAATTGGGGCTCTGGAGGAACCGATTTCTAGATATAACCAATCCAGTTATTTAAGTTAGGAAATCAGTAGTATCTGTTCAAAATTTGGAGTTTCCCAGCAAATGCCTGTAGAAGCTGTAGAAACCATTTCATATTTAGCTAGAAGCCATTTTGTATAACAGAAACCATTTCAGCTTTTCTCTCAAGCACGTAGACCAGAGTGAACTTTCTGTCACCCCGTGAGAAGAGGCCTACAGGATGGCCTATTGGTATGTGTTAATTGGGCTGGTTGGGTCAGGAGATGTACTCCCTCGTTCCTGTCCGCCATCTTGCTGATAAAGCTTTGTTTTTCCAAGTTTAATTGAGGATTTCTGTAATTGGATGCCCTGACGTCGGACTGTTTGGCTAAGGGTATAAAGATACTAAGATTGATTGTATTAGCCAGCCTTACTGAGCCTGGCTTTGCTGGGACCACGTTTGGCTCATGCTGTGCTTTATTAATTAATAAAGCTGTTTGTTAGCTGCTTAAACAGAGAGGAGCATTTTTTTTGCTTCGACAAGCCTATGATCAGGCACTACTAAAAGCTAATTAGTGGCCCAGTTGGGGCTGTTGGGGACCCAATTTTGAGAAATAATCAATCCAGTTATTGAAGTTAGGAAATCTGTAGTATCCATGCAAAATTTGGTGTTTCTAGCTCTTACCATTTCGGACATCTTTTGGGACAAACAAACAAACATTCAGAAATATTTATAAGAAGATTATTCAGTTATTGGGTGATGTTAAGATTATGTTATATATAGTTGTATGTTAGAGTTTATTTGTAGGGTGCTAAAAGTATAAAAGATAGCTCCTCTAAATACCGAGCTATGCACTAGACATGAGTCAGAGAAGCTGAAATGCAAGAACCCGTAGGCTGATGCCTTCAGGACTTTGGCTTAGCTATTTTAGGCCTTTGAGACAAGAAATCATGACATGAGTGACAGGAAAAATAACCCTATGCCCCAAAAAGATGCTAAACATACTGTAAAGGTGTATCTGTCTCAGACGTGTTTTAAATATAGGATACTGGTTGTGCTAATGAGAATAAAGAGAACTAACCCAGCCTACAGAAAATTGGGGTCTCGTCCAACCCTAACACTGTTGTCAAAGATGTGAGTATATTTGTAACTTGTGCATAGGTCTGTATGGAATTTCTATATGATTGGGTAATCATACCCGTGTCACACTAATAAAACCTAACAGACTAGACTTTGTACTGGTGAATGTATATGTGGTCTCCACCTTTGGTTTTTATGTGTTCCTAGAAACTCTAAATGTGAAGCAATTAATGGGAGATCTTTCACTCTGTTAAGGCTGAAACTGTAGCTATCAGACCTGACTCCATGGTGGTTTCACAGCAAAATTTACTTTAAATACAAGGCTACACATGAGACTGCTAGAGCTTAGAACATAAGAACGGCCATACTGGGTCAGACCAAAGGTCCATCTAGCCTAGTAGCCTGTCTGCCGACAGTGGCCAGCACCAGGTGCCCCTGAGAGGATGGATCAAAGACAATGATCAAGCAATTTGTCTCCTGCCATCCTTCTCCAGCCTCTGACAAACAGAGGCCAGGGACACCAATTCTATCCCCTGGCTAATAGCCTTTTATGGACCTAACCTCCATGAAATTATCTAGCTTCTCTTTAAACTCTGTTATAGTCCTAGCCTTCACAACCTCCTCTGGCAAGGAGTTCCACAGGTTGACTATGCACTGTGTGAAGAAGAACTTTCTTGTATTAGTTTTAAATCTCCATAGCTTGTGAAGATAGGACAAGAAGCAATGGCCTTAAACTGCAGCAAAGGAGTTTTAGGTTGGACATTAGAAAAAACTTCCTGACTTGTCAGGGAAGTTAAACACTGGAATAAATTGCCTAGGGAGATTGTGGAATCTCCATCTCTGGAAAAAACAGCAAGCAAATGGTCTGGTAGTACTTTATAGACTAACAAAACATGAGCAGGCTAGACAGACATCTATCAGGGATGATCTGGATGGTGCTTGGTCCTGCCTTGAGGGCAGGGGACTGGACTTGATGATCTCTTGAGGTCCCTTCCAGTTCTAGTAGTCTATGATTGTATGATTCTATTAGCAATGAGAGGGCCATAAAGGCCTTTAGTGTGCACCGCCCAGGCACTTCTTTAGTCAAAGAGTTCAGCAGCATTGGTTCTCTGCATGTTGTTTATTCTGACTCCTCTTCCAATGAGCATTAATTGCTGTCAGAATCTGGCTGTCCTGAGAGTCTGGAACATGTGTAGCAACTGCCCAGAGTAGAACTTCCACATCGCGATACTTATGCACTTTGGAGAGGTTTGGATCTGGATCTGATCCAGTTGGTGATTTCATCCTTGGGGGCCCACACTAGTAATTCACAAGCTATTGGGTATGAGAACAATGCCTGTTAGATACGGAAGCCTGTATCTCCTCCCTTGAGAGAGCACTGAGACACCATGATCCTCTCTGATCTCACTCCTCAGGTCGTACGGATGCCACAGTGAAGAATTTCATGCCCTATTTTCAGCGGCAACTTGCAACCACCTTTCTGAGACGGATCTCGAAGGAGCTGGACGCACAAGGCAAACCTGCTCTACAGCTGCTGCAGAGCAAAGTAAGTATGATATCTCCGGTATATAACATGCTCCTCCCACTACAAAAACCTAATCCCAAGGGCATCAGTGTCCTTTTCACAGCTCCATTTCCCTAGAAACAACTATTCTCTTAGTGGTTGTTGTAATTTGGGGTGTGTCTAAACTACATGGCTCCATCGATGAAGCCATGTAGATTAGGCTGATCGGCAAAGGGAAATGAAGTCACGATTTAAATAATTGCGGCTTCATTTAAATTTAAATGGCTGCCGCGCTGAGCCGACAAACAGCTGATCAGCTGTTTGTCGGCTCAGCGCGGCAGCCATTTAAATTTAAATGAAGCCGCAATTATTTAAATCGTGACTTCATTTCCCTTTGCCGATCAGCCTAATCTACATGGCTTCATCGATGGAGCCATGTAGTTTAGACACACCCCAAATTACAACAACCACTAAGAGAATAGTTGTTTCTAGGGAAATGGAGCTGTGAAAAGGACACTGATGCCCTTGGGATTAGGTTTTTGTAGTGGGAGGAGCATGTTATATACCGGAGATATCATACTTACTTTGCTCTGCAGCAGCTGTAGAGCAGGTTTGCCTTGTGCGTCCAGCTCCTTCGAGATCCGTCTCAGAAAGGTGGTTGCAAGTTGCCGCTGAAAATAGGGCATGAAATTCTTCACTGTGGCATCCGTACGACCTGAGGAGTGAGATCAGAGAGGATCATGGTGTCTCAGTGCTCTCTCAAGGGAGGAGATACAGGCTTCCGTATCTAACAGGCATTGTTCTCATACCCAATAGCTTGTGAATTACTAGTGTGGGCCCCCAAGGATGAAATCACCAACTGGATCAGATCCAGATCCAAACCTCTCCAAAGTGCATAAGTATCGCGATGTGGAAGTTCTACTCTGGGCAGTTGCTACACATGTTCCAGACTCTCAGGACAGCCAGATTCTGACAGCAATTAATGCTCATTGGAAGAGGAGTCAGAATAAACAACATGCAGAGAACCAATGCTGCTGAACTCTTTGACTAAAGAAGTGCCTGGGCGGTGCACACTAAAGGCCTTTATGGCCCTCTCATTGCTAATAGAATCATACAATCATAGACTACTAGAACTGGAAGGGACCTCAAGAGATCATCAAGTCCAGTCCCCTGCCCTCAAGGCAGGACCAAGCACCATCCAGATCATCCCTGATAGATGTCTGTCTAGCCTGCTCATGTTTTGTTAGTCTATAAAGTACTACCAGACCATTTGCTTGCTGTTTTTTCCAGAGATGGAGATTCCACAATCTCCCTAGGCAATTTATTCCAGTGTTTAACTTCCCTGACAAGTCAGGAAGTTTTTTCTAATGTCCAACCTAAAACTCCTTTGCTGCAGTTTAAGGCCATTGCTTCTTGTCCTATCTTCACAAGCTATGGAGAACAATTTCTCCCCCTCCTCTGTATGGCACCCTTTTAGATACCTGACAACTGCTGCTATGTCACCTCTCGGTCTTCTCCTGTCCAAACTAAGCAAGCCCAATTCCTTCAGCCTTCCCTCATAGCTCACGTTTTCTAGGCCTTTAATCATTCTTGTTGCTCTTCTCTGGGCCCTCTCCAATTTCTCCACATCTTTCTTGAAATGTGGTGCTCAGAACGGGACACAATATTCCGAGGCCTTATCAGTGCAGAGCAGAGTGAAGAATGAGTTTTTGTGTCTTGCTCACAACTCTATTAATGCATCCCAGAATCCTGTTTGCTTTTTTTGCAACAGTATGACACAGTTGATTCATATTTAGATTGTGGTCCACTATGATCCCCTAAAACCCTTTCTGCAATACTCCTTCCTAGACAATCACTTCCCATTCTGTGGCTGTGTCTAGACTGGCCAAGTTTTTCCACAAAACA